GAATATCATAAACGAGAGATTCAGTTGAGTCTGATTTGCAAATGAGTGTATTTGTCGCGAAACTTATCGGTTGCTTTTCAAACTTTCCCGAGTCACTGCAACAACCTAACTTCGGCAGTAGGACAAAGATCAGTCGGGAGTTTGGTTAAAAACAACCTTATACGGTCACGTGACTACACCTTTATGGACTGCATTTCTCGGTCTGTGTTGCATCACCTGATACTGGTCGTTAACTTGGTGGTCTGTGGCAGGTGGTTGTGAACGCTAGGCCGGTGAACGGCGACCGGGGCAGTCACGTGATTCCGGTCTCGAGACATCCTTTAAAACGTCACTACAAATCGGGCTATGTAAACCGAGCTGTAAAATCGTTGGGGAAAACGCAGCTGACCAGTACGACACTACGTGGTACCCAGGTTTGATACGTTAAGCGCAACATATATATTATGCATATTATATATGTATATATTTTATACGCAGAATTATCGGAATTTCGAAGCAATGTGAGGTTTGCATTTCATTCTGCGACCAGCGGTGCCAGATTTCTTCGGCACTGCGACCGAGAATCATCCGTTTCCAGAAAAAAGAGGAAAACCGGTGCAATTTAGATCATACAGGCATGCAGCATAAGCGCTACTTCTCCACCTGGGGTTCTTTTAAGGTCAAGAGTGACAATCACGGAGGCATCGGATCAATTACAATCCAAAGGGGCCTGGTTCTGCATTTATTTAAAACCGTGGTATCAGCACCGTTTAATTTTCGCCTATTAAGTCTCATTTGGAGTGGAGACTCTAGTAAAGTCTTAATGAGGCGTTCATGTAGACTACTAAGCCAGGAGCGTGCTTGCTATTGATTCGCGTACGCACACGAGATACAATAACTAGGGCTCTACCATACATAGGTAAATAACACCTAATACATCGTCGTTAGAAGTGCAGCGGTAAGTAGGGCGCACTCAATGGCACAGAAACTCACATCGCCAATGACTGCATCCACCTACCTAACATCAGACTGCCCACCTGGAAGTTGACCCAGACATTGTCATTCCTGGTCACGAAACAGCTTTCGTTTCTAAGGTATTTTGGGCGCAAAACCAGGTTTCACCGCCATCCTAGACCGATTCCACAAGCATTAATAGGAATACATGACGAAAGCGGTGCCCTACAGGAAAGTTTCGAATCGCTGACAATTGAAACTTCTGACGGGCGGACAGCAGAATGTTGAACGGCATCAAACATGAGGTGAATGATTACAGCTAATTACTGGTTCATCGGATTCACATTATCCTACAGCCTTTCTAATCTTGATACTGCCTCCAGAAGTTTCTCACACCTCACTTAGAATTCAGCAATGAAATACGTAAGGTTAGTTCCATCGGAGCAGGAGTTGGCGCACAGAAGTGAACCACAAACGACTACCACTACGAACGAGGAACAACTAGTAAGCATTCATAAAAAGTGCAACTGGAGGGTTGAGTTGTTCACTCAAAAGCCAAAAAGATAGGTGTGCGAAACAGAAATGCTTCTCTCGAGGAGTGTAAACCAAGACTGATAATCACCATGAAAACAGAGTTTCCAAACGTATCACAATAACGGAAAGGAACAACAAAAAGCGGTCGAACAGCCAATGAAATGATATTAGTGCTTATCAGAGGAGGATGTGTGCACGAAAACGGCGACGGTGAAGCGTGTTTTTATCACAATGATGAAAGGAGCTGTGCTTCTACAGAAGTTTTCAAATGCGGAGATCTTTTGAATAATAGATATAACACAATCTCCTACCAGTATTCATGTATTGACCAGGTATCATGCATGTAATGCAGTGAAAGAGATGACGATGCTTTCACCCGGTGTAGCGAATGAGGAACACGAGTGCGATGTTGTCATAAATCGATGGCCGTATGAGCGCACTGTATGTACAGGTAAAGTGGAGACATCATAATCAAGAATGAGAATTAGAGGAAAAGAGAATATAGGTCAAACGTATGCCGAAATTCAATATTTACAGGAGCAGCATGTGTTCAGTCCACGTTGAAAAGTGGACGCAGTACAAAAACGGACTGAAGCAGGAAGATAAAGAGACGCGAACTTTGGACAAATGGAAACAAGTAGATATGGGTCACGAAGAAAAATGAGGTGCATGATTTCGACGAATTGTGCAAGAAGTCCAATCTTGAAGAGTGTATGGGGACTCGTAGACAGCTTTAGACGTTCTGTTGAATATAGGCAAGAGTTCATTTGCTTCCTCCGGCAAACGCCTCAAATAGATAAAAGCCGAACTTCCGAAGTTTTCGATTGACACGAGCTTCAAATCCCCACTGAGGTAACGTGCGTACAGACGACTAAGTGGAAGACCATGACCCCGTCCAGCCAATGGAGAGAAAGTAGCGGATTCCGGGTCATTGTCCGGCCCGCGTGAGCCATGAGGCTGGTTATGGTCAGTAGCGCCGAGAATAGGCGACAAATGAGAGGCAGTGGTGAACGTATACTCGAAGGCTCGCTTGGCAACATTATCGGGCATCCCACCACCCAGGTCCGATAACTGGAAAAGCACAGTAACAGGAGAAAAGCTTTCAAGTTGACGACAGCGAAAGGAAAGCTAAGTCAGCAGTTTGTGGTATCTTAATCAAGTGCAAAAACACTGAACTGGTGAGTGCCCGGAATATGTATAAGACTGGTCGTGTGAGACTGACTAATTACACGGCTCAATGTAACGACCAAGATTGTCATTCAACAAGGAGCAAGTTGAAAAGGTGTCCCAGAGTGGACACGAAGCAGTAATTATGCAAACATGAACTAAACTGCGCTGAAGGAGTAGGGGGCTTTGTAAAGCCGTTGAACTTGGTATGACGACTCTAATGGTTTCGAACCAACAGCCTTATGGGTGGTTGATGAATATGCGCTGCTGATCAGCAGTGTTGTCAACTTGCGCATGAATAGAATGAAATTTCAGTCGCCTTTCAACAAGGTAGATCAAGTCATATGCCACGATGCTTCTGGTCCGAATCCCACTTGGGTCTCGCAAAATGTGCGCATTCCTCACAAGAGTAGACTGACTGTGCTTTTCGGCATTAGCTAACTCAGATTTACATGGCGCAGTACACAGACAAGATTCTGAATCCAACCGTTCTCCCGGAGGGTAGAAAACTAATGCACTAAAACAAACCGGACTGATGAGACAAAATTATGAAGGCAGTTGTTTTGATCTTGAAGTTTAGCAGCCACATTCCAACTGGGGAGATTCGGCTATGGTTGCGAATTGACCTAGAGTGGAATACTGTCGAGAATCCGTTAAAGCACAACGCACGCGTTGCCATGCCCTCTGAAGGTGCGGCTACCGGCGCAATTGATATAGTGATTGCCGTATGACGGAAAAGCCCCAAATGGGACCAATCTGATCATCCTGAAAACTCGGGCCTATTAATCGGGATAGATATAATTACAGACAACACAGACCGAAGTCTAACATCGTTTGCGTAAAAAATCTGTCTTTTTTACATAGCTATACTGCCTAATCCAGGCACGCTGATAAATTTCCTGATCACTGCAACAGACTAACTGTGGAAATGGGAGTTTTACGATCATCCCACCAAAAAAAACCCAGACACCCGGTAAACCCTAATGTATCAGGTGTGGGTTTGAGCATCCAGTCGACAACGGGTGATGGTCTATCGTGTCCAAACATGTCCACGAAATCAACGTAAAGTCATCCGTTCTGACGATTTCGTCGTTACCCCCGTGGGGATGAACTTTCATGTGCATATAAATAGCCGACAACTACGTTTGAATAGGAAAGAATTATGATTAACGATGGGCATACTGTTTGATGATGATCAATTGAAATAAGAGGGGAAAGACAAACTCATGCGTTTACCTTCCCCAGTCTTCTGACCATGTAATCCGCCCACTTACATCCAGCCATCCCTATCAAATTCTGATCTGTACCGCAGAAGTGAATCTGTTACCCCTTCTTAGCCCCTCAGAACAGCTCAGCTATGCTACAACCTATTCACTTTATGCCTTCCCAAACTCTTATAAGCCCACATTACGTGAGGGTCTTTGATTATGGATTACGCTTCTGCGTAATTACGAATGGCATTCACGACAAACCAGAAACGGTCGGGCTATAAGGATATATGACTGTGAAAGGGGTGCACCACGTTTATAGGTAGTTGTTGAAGGGGCAAGTCTGATATCGCCCTTGACACTTAGTGACAATGTAAGACAAAGTTCAGCTTCTCGTTATTACTGGCAATTCTTTCCGATTGTTGTTCGTGCCGTGAACCCCGCTTTCGGTGAATAAGTGGTGCAAAATGCTTAAATTATTTCGAAAACGTGTTTGTCTACCACTCTGAATTAGGGTTAGGAGCCACGGAGAAAACAAATTAACTCTCGGAGTGGGCAGATTTTATATCTGACCGGAGGACACCAATCTGGGACGCCTCATTAACACAGTTCTGTGGTGACAGCGTGGTTAAATCGAATAAGTAGCCCAAAAGAAATAGGTAAGTCCCCCCCCCCCGACTGCGTGTGAATAGAAGGGTGACATAAAAAGCCAACTCAAACGCTCCTATGTAGTCCCACTATAAGAAAAGCACAACCAGCGTTTCATATTCAGTCATCTCGGTGCCCAGTCATCCACAAAAATAGAGGCTTCAAACTATCACTAACTGAACATTGCGGGCTTGTTTGAACGTGAGTACTGTTACACGGTGCTAACTGTGTTAAAACGTGCGCTTTACATCAATACTACGTGATAGGGTGTGCCGCAATGTAGGCGATCCGATCGCATCACGAGTCGATTACGTGACAACAAATAAATAAAATAAAACCTGCTGAGAAATTCAAAACGAAACTACACTGTATCGGGTTTACAAGAGCTTTCATAACTATCTGGATTAAAAACGAGTTGGTTGGTTTTCGGCGTACATCAGTTAGACTACGTCAATTCATTTGTGTTTATAAACAGCGTCCTAGGTCCTAACGGGTTTATGGGCTGGCGGGAGCGAGGCGGAGAAAACGGTAATGCATTGCGAGCGAAAGCTTCGTGTAGCGAATGTTGCTGAAAATGTGCCGGTATTACGATCACAGTGTACAGATTGTACAGTAGTTCCAGTTGTCAAAGTTTCGTTGGTCGACAATGTCAGATGTGGGAGAACAATAGGTAATCATTGTTGTTTTATGGTAGGGAAGAACCCACTTTATTGTTGTCGACAGCGATGAGTGGGCTGGCGAAGCTTGGTCTATCTCGGGCGAATGAGAACAAAGCAAAGTAGAAGGTTGTGCCTTGTGCAACATACCTCCAAGGATTAACTAATTGATAGATAAGAAAAGGGCCCATGTACCTACGGTTCCGTTAGGTTTGCGTTCTGTTCTTGTGGCGTAACCAAACAGCAAAGGTCATTTGGGAATCGTCCGGACAACACGAGAAAACTTGCATAGTAGACCAGTTGAAAGTGATAAGGAAGGAAATCAATATACAAAAGTTTTATCGGCAGGCTGACGCCTCAGCGAGTTCCCGCAAGTAATTGGTCAATGAAAGGTAACCCAAAAGTTGGAGATTTAGAAAAGGCAACGGTCGAGACGATTCAACAGTTATTAGTTCAGTTCAACGTCGGAGCTCACCAGGATTTTCGAATACCTGAGGGGATCACGCTAAACGAAGAATTTTGCATTCTGATTTCACTAAGGCAGTTTCAAAGGAAAAGTTGGTAAGATTTACTTAGGTTAAAAGGTTAATTGGTACACTATCAGGACCGAAGTTGAAGAATATAGACGGACAGGTGTTATAATACAGGGTCTTCGGTGAAAGTCACTAAACCGAAGGGCCACAAACTGGTTTCGATTACGGAAAGGTTTGGTAACAATCGGTCGATCTATTCCTGAGAAACGCTTCTTTTTTGACAGACCAAGTGACTAGGTCACTATGACTACGCAATCTGTTCCCAGTGGTTCCCCCCTGGTTTAGATTTATTCAAAATTTAGAGTGCATAGCAAAGCTTTTCAAGAATGGTTTCGCAAAAAGTCCAACGTTTAGTCCAATGTCAGTGACGCAACTTGGCCGGCTGTATAGTGGAACGCCAACAACTCATAGCGTTAGAACATCAGGACAGGGTTATTCCAACCAGCGCTCTACGGATGGCACAGTTTCCAAAAGTGCAGAGGAATAAGTTAGTCAATTACGGAGCCCTCTAAGTAGTGTGTGGCTATGAGTACGAACAATGCACTGTAGAAGAGAAGCTGTTTGCGTGACTCGGATTTCAAAAAGCATTTAGAGCAAAGCGATCAATTACCTCTGCTTCGATTGATGCGTGCACTCTAACAGGCTGTACATGGTTGCTGATGAAGATGGAGCTGGACGTTTGGGGTGGTTGGAAGGACTCACATTTGTGGCGGCACAGTCGATAGGAGTTTAGGCTAGAGTTGTTACTGGGCCGATATGCAACCCAAACGAAACACATGAACTTGGATACCATCACACTATCCAAACTCAGAAAAGGGCAAACGAAAAGACAGAGATGGACTCCAATCCAACACCCCAATAAGTGTGCTACACACAAACTTCGAAGCTACCTTCAGTTGTAAGGTTTATCAGAGCAGCACGCTCTTCTCTACTTCATAATTTTCATTCCCTATTGGCTCTTCATTCATGTCAAACATTACTTTGACTTGAAGCTCTGGCGAGATATGATTCGACAATTTGAAGCCTCTCCCATCTCCAATATGGAAAGTTTCCATTTGTTATGCTGCGGCCGGCTGCTGCGGAACCACGGCTCCATGAAAATAACAAATTGTAGGTGCATTCACTCTGAGGTCGACGGTGACACTTGTGTAACCCAGGTTCTTTTCGGATGTCGAAAAACGCAGAAGTCGAAGCCTCGTTTGTGATAATTTACTAAACTCGAGGACTTCGTGACAAACTAGGCGCTGGCGAGACCGCTTCAGTATCTCCGAGAGAAAATAAACTTCTTGGTTTACGCACCCTGCTTGCGTCACACACCAACAAATGGCAACAGAACGGTCAACCGCATGACGTTTTCTGAAAACTCCACATATTCGCGTCTACGACGGTGTCATGTGATACCAAACTTCTACAACCATTTAAGTGCAATTTCTAGAAATAGGAAGACCGAATCGATATTATTTAGCAGCGACAACTGTGCACATTGCAAGCATAGGCAACAGAATCAGAACTTATGACAGATATTTCTAAATAAAAGTCATACGACCATGAGTGTTCAGCTGTAGCACCCTTCAGGTTCCCAGCTGCCATGTAACCCGAAGGAAGCACGAGGACGGGATACTGCCCAGGTTGCCCAAGCCTAGACAGGGGAAGTCAAGAGGCCACATATTCGCGTCTACGACGGTGTCATGTGATACCAAACTTCTACAACCATTTAAGTGCAATTTCCAGAAATAGGAAGACCGAATCGATATTATTTAGCAGCGACAACTGTGCACATTGCAAGCATAGGCAACAGAATCAGAACTTATGACAGATATTTCTAAATAAAAGTCATACGACCATGAGTGTTCAGCTGTAGCACCCTTCAGGTTCCCAGCTGCCATGTAACCCGAAGGAAGCACGAGGACTGGGATACTGCCAGGTTGCCCAAGCCTAGACAGGGGAAGTCAAGAGGCGGAGGTCGGATTCGAACCACGGACCTTCCGTCTGTAAATTCGCGCTCTAACCACTTGAGCCATCTCGTCCTCCATATGAATATATTATTATTGCAGCTGGACATTAAGGACCACATTGTAGTGATCAACTGAGCAGGTGGTACATAGCATGTGAATCCGTACTCCTAGATTAGAAAAGCGGTAAGCCACCAGGAACGTGACGGAAGTATACAGACGAAGACTGCAAGTTATACTCATAGTTGGACCGCAGTGCGTTCAGCGCTGTCAAATAAGAGGGACAAACAATTCTAGTGGTGTTCGTTTTGTCATTTTTCACCCGCATTACCTGTAAGTAAAACTCCCTCCCTAGAAAGGTGGTGTTCGGCCAAGGTAAATCCCCTTTTCAATTCCAATTTCTGCAGCAAGACTTAACACTTGTGTTGTTAGTAGCAAGAGTATGATGGCGGATACAACCGCCTAAATTGGATCTTGAGTACCAGAATCGTCCAACCTATAGGGACCTCATCAGGTGGTCAGAGCTATTTATCCAGCGAAACAGGATACTACGAAGTGCAGTCAACAGCCTCACTTAAAGAAGACCAGACGACATCTTGACCCGGTACCATCGCGCCCAGTTCAAATTTAACATCACGCCACTTTTGTGGCGGTCCTGAGTGAACAGATTTTCACTTCCCATGCACATCGAGAAATCGACATGTCCATCGGAAAGAATGGGTGTTTCACATGACCTTGAGAAAAAACCAGACGGATTATATAGGTAGTTCCACCCGACTGACTTTATCTACTCCAAATGCAGATCGGCACTCCAATAAGTAATGCGCATCGAATCGTTCAATGAGTTACCTAGGTTAACAACACTGTTCTAAATACTGTACTTTTTTTATTCAGACTGGCGGTGATTCCAGTAGATGACTCTTGAGTTGATTCTAATAGTGATCTAAACAGATCGCGATGTATGGTGAGACCCAGTTAACCAGTCAGCTAGGAGCAAAGCAGAGGGATGTTGCAGCAACGCTGTACGATCCAACATGTCAGGTACCTACGAGACAAAGGTAGCGGTACATCAAGGTTTACTTGAAGTGAATGTTTCAATTCGAGCGCACATAACAGTACAGTGATTTCTTTCCATCAATAAAGAGGGCCCGATGCAGTCGGTGCTGTTTTGCGCAAGTGAACATTGCTCACTGAAGACAGAAAACGAATTGCCTTGACTTCTAATGTCTACACGGCAATGTATACTCGTAATGGATCGACAATGTTTAAAATGCTACACGATAGTTGAGAATGCGTTTGCTGATCTATGCATCAAACAGTGAACTGTTACTATGCACAATTAGGGCAATGCCGGATAACGCTTTTCAAAACTTCAAAAAAGTGAGTAGGCTTAAAGACTTGAAAGAGGGGATGATCAAATGAGAAATATGATTCGCAGAACAGACACGACAGAAATAATTTCCGCGAGATTTTCAGCCATATAAGGGATCAAGAAATTACCGCAGTTTTCAGAGAGGGCAAGAATAGCTTGAATTCGAATCGTATTTAAAAAATGGAGTGGAGCAAATGCTTGGTTCTTGAAAGAAATTAAAAAAAACATGTAAAGTAAGCACCTTATATGTGTATGTCCGTCAGGACGGAGAGTTCACATTCACGAAAACGGTAACCAGAGCCTTTTCCAAGCAATGTGGCCTACATGAGAAACCAGTGATATGAGTCCTATCAAGGAAGCTGAATGTATTGTGCTGGCTTATTCAGTTCTATTATCCGTTTAACTACATCAAAAACATCGTCTTCTAGCTCGTGCTCATGGAAACCTATATTGTTTCGGCTTAATTTCCGAACCGGTTGTGGTTTAGTGTTCATGTAATCAGTAAACACACGTCTCATATAAGCTATGGGCAAAATATGGTTCACGTCGCATTGAACTCAAGGTGACCATAAAGTGAAGCAAACAAAACGTTTTGTCCTGATACTGATGCACGAACTATTGGGAGTTGGTCGCCAGAGCAATGAGACTTCAAGTGGGCGAAGGAACAGGACTAGCGAGGTACAAAAATGACAGCCTCATCTCTAGATCGCATTAGACTGCAAGCATGAAACGGGAAGCACGTACGAAAGTTTGTGAACATATATCTTTGTCTGGAGTCAGATGTCAGAATAGATCCCCTTCTAGTTTTGAATGGCTAAAAGGCTATTCACTGTAAACTTCAATTGTTGGATTCCTAACACTTTGTGGAAAGCTTGTAATAACGAGTGATGCTACGAATGCGGAGGTATGTGACGGCAAAACAAGATTATTACATCCCAAAGTACAATATTGGTGCCAGCGTGTCTACATAGTTGGACGATGGTGACTACTCACTTTTATTGTGACATCTTCCCGGCCATGGCAAATCACAATATGCAATCGAGGCAGCTCGGAATCCTGATGACGATGTTCTACCACAGCTCGCATCGAGTTCTTCAACAACTCGAACAACACATGAAACAGGTGACCGGGAATATAGCAGAACCGGAAATTTGGGCCCCGAATATCTAGTTCCGCACAGTTAGGTTGATCTGTAAACAGTTCTGCCGCCCCAGATGGTTTTCCATCTTTATCCACGGATATACCGAGTGATGAGAGGGGCTCTCGTTTCTTGCTTCGCGGTACTCGGTCAAAAAGTTCGATCACACATCCAGGTGCACGACCATAGACACGGTGACACAACATTCGGGCGTAACCATAGGCACTGACGGTCAGTTGGAGTGGACTGCACTCTGGGTCGATGCAGCCCACGTACGACTCATTCTCCCGCAAAACCGGACCATACAGTAGCACTGTAGGTAAAAGTATGGTAAGTTTGTGGTTAAAAAGCAATTCATTTGAATGCATAGTTACAAGTAAATACGATAGAAACAGTCCTCAGTAATTTGTGGTCCCTCTTACCCAAGAGAGGCTAATTTGGTTTGAAATCGACAGCTATTGAGAAGTGAACTTTAAACCCATAAGGAAGATCAGTCCTGATTTTTCTTAGGTGCGAATTGTCTTTTAGACAAGCATCTTGTTGTAAGATGTGTACATTGGATATCCCCGCGTTCTGGGGAGAATGAATGTATCGGACTGCTTACATGGCAGTGAGGATTTATTCTCCAGACAGTCGGATGCACCAAGACTTTCATCGGCGGGTTACATAATCAGTAGTTTCGGAGAAGCGGAAACAGTATTGCGTCAAAAATCCAGCAGTTCCCGATGAACAGCGCACCTCTACACCTCAGCAGACTAGTATGCGAAAATCCTCTATTAGATTTATGAATAGCGTTTGAATGTATACGTTACACTTAAATGAATGGTGGAACGGAATCACACGGGTACCCGAAATCAGGACTGGAAGTTATACGACCCCAACAGAAACACACAGTTAACTTATATTAACCATACAAGTTAAAGAGGACACATGTTGTTCTACACAAATGGACATACAGACCTTATGGCTGGGAGTACTATTATAGAGTTCGAGAGGTTACAAGCACGCTTTCGTCAATGAGCACGGGTCAAAATGCTTGTAACATTTAAAGTGTGCGGACTATTATCACCCGTTGCAGAAGACCATTGTCGTGAACCGGTTCCGCATGATAAACTCTCTGAATGGCGAAAACAGACTCTACAATTTGTTGAAACGATCAATTGCATCGAACAGAGTGAAAATATGAACAACGGGACCCAGAAATGGTCTTGATTCACGAACGAGCAGACAATACGAAATAGACCCGTTGGCAAGTGACATTGACGTTTAGGAGAGAGTCTCTACACTCTCTCAACTAAACTATGAACTCTCGACTAAAATAATGAGTCTCTTTGTAATGCACTACTCATAAGTTGCTGAAATTTTCGTCGACAGCCC